GGGGGCTGCAGGGCAGGCCTGGTCCCCACGGCAGCGGGACCCCGAACCCCACGCCAGCCCCTCGTCTGTGAGGGCCCCTGGGGCACCACCCCTGCATCTCCAGGCGGCCCCTCTGCCACCCTCAGAGCTGCTATCGCGCCTCCTCCTGGGTTTCGCCAGCTGCTCACAGGCCGCTTCACGTGGTCACAGTGACTTCAGCTGCCGACCCTCCCAGGGGCCACGACCCTCCCAGGGGCCTGTCCATTCCAACGACCCCCTTGGCGGACACCGGGATGGGGTGGCGTGACGGCCGTGGCTGAGTCGTGGCCCTTTCCCTGTAGGTGCTGAGGTGTGGGGCCGGCCGCTGTCTCCCTGCCCCCTGGCCCTGGGACGTCACGCTCAGCTCTGACACCCAGCGGCCGAGTGTGGTCTGTGGCTGAGACGTTTCTACGCTGTGGGGACACGGGGCTCAACCCTCCATCTTGATTCCGTTAGTCTCTCCTTTCTCTGTTCATTCGTGCATCCATCTGTGCGTTCACTCATTCTCCCCAGCGCTTGTAGCTCCCCTCCCGTGTGGGGGAGGTCACAGTTGTGATGTGAGCGCCCACAGGCAGGAACGGAAATGCTTTGCAGGTGGTGGGAGGAAGGGAGAGCTGGACGGGGGGCTTCTTGCTGGAGGTGACATGGAAATGGGCCTTGAAGCATATGTAGGAGTTCGCCAGGAACGGCCTTGGTGGGTGGGCAGTGAGGGGGTGGACGCCCTGTCCCCCCAGCGCCTTGGCTCCTGGCTCACCTGCGAGCGGACAGTTGCTGAAGTGGCCACTGATCTCGCTTCCTCCCCGTCTCCCCCCAGGAAGAGAACAGGCAGATTTTGGCTCAGAAGTCAGCCTCCCAGTCCGACTCGCACGACGAGGAGGTCTCCCCGACTCTGCCGAACCCCGTGGTGAAAGCCCGCTGCCGCCGCGGGGGCGTGAGTGCCGAGGTGTACACCGAGGAGGACGCCGTGTCCTACGTGCGGAAGGTGGGTGCGGGCCTGGGTGGGCAGCGTCGTCGTGGTCACGGTTGTCGTGGTCATGCCGTGGTCATGGTCACGGCTGTCGTCGTGGTCACGGCTGCTGCCAGCCGGCATCTGTGCGCTCGAGGCCCTTTGGTGCCCCGGCTGATGCTCCAACCACTGAGCCACGCTGGCCTGGGTTCTCTCTCTTTTTAATTTATTGATTTGAGAGAGAGCGAGAGAGACGTCGGTTTGCTGTGTTACATGTCTGCACTCGCTGGTGGGTTGCTGTATGTGCCCTGACAGGGGCTGAGCCCACAACCTTGCTGTATCAGGGCGACGCTCTAACCAACCGAGGGACCCAGCCAGGGCCTCTGTCCTCAGCCCTCACCCCACACCCCAGTTCTGAATACTTTCATGATCAGAGCATGGGAACCAGTGACACTTGTTAAAAGTCTGCCAGGCCGCCTCGCTTCTGGGGGCTCCCTCCCTAAACCCAGGACCCCCCTACTCAGAGGTGACCCCAGGATGACCGGCCAGCCCTCCTCCGGCGGCAAGGTCATCGGAGCGAGGAGGTCGCAGAGCAGGGGGCTGAGGGCCGTGAGCTCCCCCAGCCTCTTCTGGGAGGCTCCGAGCCACCAGGGCCTGTCCCCCGAGACCCAGTCAGTGCTGAAGCCACCTTGGGTCCCCCCAGGTTTCTCTTCTTCCTTTTTTGTTTCTGAAATTAAAAGCATGTGGCACACCTACATCGCCAGCCGCCGATCTGGAGCGTGACCTGGGATCAGCCAGGCGGAGCCCCCGGGTGACTTGAGCCGTGTCAGTTTCTCGGGGTCGAGCAGGTGCCCCGGGGACGCCCAGAGCCTGACGGTCCCTCCCCCACAGGTCATCCCCAAGGACTACAAGACCATGACGGCGCTGGCCAAAGCCATCTCCAAGAACGTGCTGTTTGCTCACCTGGACGACAACGAGAGGAGGTAGGAACAGGTGGGGCTGGGCAGGACCGACGGCCCTTCCTGGCCACGCTGCTCAGGGCGTGAGTCTCAGCGACACCGGAGGGGCACACGGCCCCGGAGTGGCCGCTTCCGGATAAGGCTCCGGGAGCCTCTGGGAGCCTCTTTGGTCACTGCGTCAGCACCCGCAGCTCCCACCACCTGTCCGGAGGGGGCACACGGCCCCGGAGCGGCCGCTTCCGGATAAGGCTCCGGGAGCCTCTGGGGGCCTCCTCGGTCACTGCGTCGGCACCCGCAGCTCCCACACACCTGTCCTCGAAGGCCTGTCGCTTTGCGCAGGTCACCAGGGGCTACTTGTCCAGCACCTCCCACGTGTGAGGATCTTCCGTGTCTGCCCCGAGCTCACTGCCCATGGGACCTGGGCTGGAGTGCTTGTCCGGCTGCTCCCGCCCGTCCGAGGGGCCTGGAGGTGACAGTCACATGGTCTAGAAGGGCCTGGGAGTGTCCCCTTCCCTGGCACGGAGGACTGTGCAGGCGTGAAGTTAGGGTCTGGGTGCGTGGGGCGGACCCCGGGTTCCCAGGTGGGCCCTAAATGCAATCACAGGTGTGTGAGGGACATTGGAGGGGGCGGAGCCGCCGTGTTTCTCAGCCAGGGGCAGGCCGGCCCCGCCCACACCTGGTGTCCACCTGGGGACTGATTTTGGACTTCTGCCTCCGGAGGGGGGGGCGGGGCGGGGGGAGACAGCACCTTTCTGTGCTCAGCCCTGAGCCAGGTGTCCGCCGGCCGCTGCGTCCTCGGTCACCAGGTGGACCCAGGTGACTAAGCGTCGTGTCTGTTTCGACCTGAACGTACACGTCACTTTAAAACGCGATGTCAGTCTGGGTGTTGAATGGGGGCTGCATTCCCGTGGCCGGGGCGCGGGGCCAGCAGACAGACCCGACCCTCAGGCCGAGGCACCTGCTCACCCAGAGACTGGCCTGCAGGGAAGGGGCTCGCCCGGTGCAGCCCGGCCCGGACTCACTGTGGGGCCCCGCTGCACCTCCCAGCCCTCCCCGCCCCCCCCCTGCAGCTGTGTTTAAGGCAGACTCCTCCTACCCTCCAGGCCCCTCCTAGCCCCGAGCACTAGCTGGTTCAGTAAGTGCGTAGTTGAGGGCCAGCCTGGCCCGCGTGCCAGCTGATTGAAATCGTGTCTCCGGGCTCCAGGCTGCGTGTGTCCAGGACGGTCTGTGCTGGGGTCCTGGGCCCCAAGTTTCCAGGTCCACAGGCTCGTGGGGTGGGAGAGCCAGGTGGGCAGGAAGTGGAAGCAGATGGTTGGATTAACGTTCCTCTCTGGGAGGCTGGCTTGAACGAGGCCTCCCCTGTGGCCTGTGCTCTAGGGTTTGGCACATAGGAAAGCTCACGTCCCATCTCCAAGCCCCACGGCTCCTTTCTCTGGCAACGGCCCCCAAGGAAACAGGCTGATGGTCAGGGCACAGGTTCCGGGGGAAGTGGGCAGGGGCTGTCTCACCTGCCCCGGGATGTCTCCCCTGTGGCAGCCAAGTGGCTGCTTTCCCAGTTCTCGGAAGCTGGCTCCGCGGCTTTGTCTGCGCCCAGCTGCAGTTTGGCGAGGGCAGCACTGTTCTGACCAAGTTTGCAGGGCATCTGCCTGCTTCTCCCTCCGTGTCCCCACCAGCACATTCCTTTGCAGACAAACCCACGTGTAGGGTGACTGCACTTCTCTGCTTAGTGACTCTTCCTGTTGAATTCAGGTTTAAGACAAGTATATCATCACTACTGTTACCACCACCATCATCACCATCACCATTATCACCACCATCACCATCACCACCATCACCATCATCACCTTCATCATCACCTTCATCACCATCACCATCATCACCATCACTACCACCATCATCACCATCACCACCATCACCATCACCTTCATCACCACCTTCATCATCATCACCACCATCATCACCTTCATCACCATCACCATCATCCCCATCATTGTTGCCATCATCTTGCTGGAGGCCCTCTGGCTGTGTGTGGGGGTAAGTCAGTGGGCTTCCCCCTTGATGCCACTTTGTCCAGACCTCCACATGGACCACCAGCCATGCCTCAGTGCTCGGTCTGGGGAGGGGCTGGTGTGCCCTGAGGGCATGCCACAGGGTCATGCTCTGCTCCGCCTGTGCCTGCTGGAGCGGGCTGCCCTGGGGCTCAGGGCACAGCAGCAAGGACTCTGAGAGGCCCGCGTGTCCCCTCCTCACTGCACAGAAGGGGACCCCTAGCCCTGGCTCCAGGCAGCACGTGTCCCGCTGGGGCTGGAGCCGGTCCTCATGCTGGGCGGCTCTCCACAGCCCTCTGCCGAGCTGAGGGCTCCAGGTGAGGGGCTGGGAGGCGGCAGGTGCGGCCTCCTCGCTAGGTCAGCGGGGACGCTGGGCAGTTACTCTCTGGTCAGTGGCCCAAACAGCCCCAGCGGTGCCCTGAGATGTGTCGAGAATCTGGCCTGGCCCCGAGGGCACGTCTTAGGCCTGGTGGAGGGAGATGGGAGCCCTTCTGGCTGCCCAACCAGGGCCCTGGAGACGGAGCAGCGCACGCCCCTGAGAGCCGACAAGTGTGACCATTGGGAGGCTCCGAGGGGGTGGGTGGTCCAGGCAGCAGCCTGTGCGCCGGGCCCTCTGCTGGGGCCTCATTCCCGGGGCCGCCAGA